TTCTACAAATAGTTGAAGTTTATTCTTCTTTATGACTGAGTAGTATTCCTTTATGTATATATAGCACATTATCTTTCTCCATTATCTTTCATCCGGTGATGGGCATATAGGCTGCTTCCAAAATTTAGCTGTCAGTGATTTATTTTTTAAGAGTTTATGAGTGCATGGTATTAATTCCTTAAATTTCTGGAATCACCGCTAGTGAAATCATCCTGACCTGAGCATAGAATTGATGTTGGATGGGAATCTTTCTGAGCTGAGACTTCAGGCAGATCAAAGCCATAGCCATGATTGACAACTAGATTTCTGACCCAGAGAATCTGTGAGTAATGGGTGTGAGATTTTGAATTACTGACTTATGTGGTAATGACATTCATGGAAAGCAGGAAAAATAAGAAAAATCCATTCTTTAGTTAGTAATTTGGGACCGCAGTCCATTTCACAGTTTTAGAAACAAGCTATAGTTACTTAAGGTGTTCATATTAGGGGAAAATGAAAGATACATTAAATTCTTTTTACTACCTCAAAACATCCTGTAATTTTGAAATTGTTTCAAAATAATATTGTTTAAAGGGCATTAATTTAATACTGTTCTCCTCCACAAACACATTAAAAATCCCCAAGGCCTGGAGAACTAAATGGACACCCAGAAAAAGAATACCAGAGTGGCAAACATTATTATGTACCTTTCCAAACACAGTGCATAAAATAATAAAGCTTATTATAATTGATGCGAACAATACATATTTTTTTCTTAAATAATATACGCAAATGCTAACTTAGTGGTTAGGCTATCACAGCTATGTGTCTGTGTGCTCTGTGACTCATACTTTACTTAGTTCTTTATCATCCCACAGGCAGGCACTGCTACCCCTCCCGAGGCCCAGTTAGGAATTGGAGCAGAAGCTCTACAGGAAGAGAACAGGAGAACCTTTCCTTGACTTGGTCTGCAGTCTTTGCTCACATCACCGAGTAGAGGATTTTTCTCCTCTATGGAACACACTGTACAGGCTGAGTATGAGACATTTCCTCTGTGGCTGCTCATGAAGTCATTTTCCTCACAGAAATACTGCATTAAACTGTCTTTATGTTTACATGTATGAGCCACCTTGAAGAGATTTTTGTGTGCATTGTGAGTTTAAACTTCAGCTTTTATTTGCTCCGTGTGGATATTGTTTCCTAGAACATTTACTAGAAATGCATTTATTAGAAATGCATCACACCAATCTTCCCACATGTACATTGAGTAAAGAAAAGTATTCAAAACCTTAGAATGTTGTTACTGATACTTTCAGTGAGACAGAACAACGCGGGTGACAGAGGGAGGAAATATTTGTCTGTGGATCAGTCTGGGGACTCAGAAGTGAGCAGGTGATTTGGAGCAGAGCTGAGAAGAGTCATCTATGGGATGGCAGTGACAGGAAGGGCAGAGCACGGGGAGCTCCACAGGAGAGACGCGGCAGCCAGAATGTGCTGCGGAGCAGCTCACTGAAGAGCACATCCTCTCTGGATGGTTTTGCGTATCTGGGATTTGTTCCATGAAGTGTTTCCCCGGCCCATGAGGTCCTGGCTATCCGGAAGGAATTCAGAACTCTTGGTGAAAGCTAGGATGAGCCCTGGTGTTGATCCACTGCACTGAAGAAAAGCAAAACAAAACCCTAAAGCTTCATATCAAAAATACCCCGGGGACATTGTCTCTCTCCACTCCCGAGGCCCCTGGCCATTAGCAGGTGAGATTCAGCCCAAGAATGAGCAAGTGTGGAGTGGAGCAGGCTCCTCCTCGGGCTCAGAAAGCAGAAGGAAGGGAGCTGCTGGTCACCTGCCCTTCTCCATCATTTCACACCCACACCCAGATTGGATGCCAACTCCTGTCCCCACTCGCATTTTGCAAGGATCAGTGGGATCCTGGATACCAACAGTTCCCAGCATTCAGGCAGGTATGCAGAGGCTGCATATGCAAGCCACTCCTGTTAGGAGGCTATGCAGGTGAAGCCCTGATGGTGCCAGACGAAGGAACCCGGCAGAGAGTGCATGAGGGACCTGGGATCATCAGGGTGTGGCCTTAAGAATGGTGCCTGCATGGAGCAGTATGCATTGATCCACCTGTGTCTTCACATCTGCTTACATGATGTTCCCAAACCTCAGGAGGAATTGACTGTCCCCGAGTGTAATATCTACAGTGGACCCTCAGGTTACCACTGGCCTGAAATACAAATAACTTGGGTTACTTAAGTTAATGGAAGATTCATCTGCCTCTCCTTCTCTATACCCAGGTAAACATCGCATCTCAGCTGTATGGACTTCGTTACAACCAACCCTCGGGAACAGCTCAAGTTCGTAAGTCAAGGGTCCACTGTATTTGGGCCATTCTATTACATTTTCTTTCATATTGAACATATTGCAGTAGTTGCCGAAATTGATAATTACTGGTATATTAATATTTAATGCATTTGCAGCTTAATGAGCAAGTGAAATTTCCCTGAATTAGCCTGCCATTGGTTGATTATTTCTCAGGATGATTAGCATATCTTCATTTGATAGGAACAGCTCTGCATACCCTTTAGTAAGAGATCAATGTGTTATATTGTAGTTTTTCATTGTTAACACGTGTATTGGTACTTTAAATCTCTCCCTAACCTCTGCTTTCGTTGACTTCTATACATTCTGATAGGAGACGTTTTCATCTTAGTTGCTTCAAAATATTTACAAATATGTCATAATATTTGTTTGTTTGTTTTGTTTTGTTTTTTGGTACTGGGGATTGAAGGACTTGTTTTTTTAACCTGGTGCTATGTGAAATGTGTTTAATCTTCAAGAGTTTTTTTCTTTTTCCTGTTTCCTTGTGAGATACTTTGCACCTGAAATATCTCCTTTGCATACCAAATAGAAAGTACTGTCCAATGAGTGCTTGACACCAATATTTGAGTACAAGATTTTCTGCTCATTTAATTGACCCATCCTGGATCCCAAGTATGTAAATAAAAGCACAGGTCATATCCTCCAACAAAACTTGAATCTCAGCTTCATTAAATATATTCACTGGAAACCATTAAACACCTCTCCAATTTTAACATACCCCAAACAGTTGGCTAGATAGCAAATGGGTGAAGAAAAATATTTCCTTAAAAGTATAGTTAGTTCATCCACAGGTACAATGAGTGAGTATAAGTGATTTATAAAATCCCCATACATTTGTTTGGAAAATGACTGAACAGTAGGAGAAAAAAGAAATACAAATGCAGTGAGTTAGAAAGTTGAATTTGTTATGGAAGAGAAGGAGGGCAGTGTTCACGTTACTAAAATAATATCAGAAATCCTCAAGTTACCGATTTTTCTCACTCTTTGAAAGGCCACAGCTCAGGGCAACCCCTCCAGTAATGCTTTGCCTCTGCTATGTTCCTTCTCCATGAATTTTCTCAACCACAGTTTAGAAAATCATCTCTCCCCGTGAGTTGTATTTTGTTCTTTCTCATTTGCTCTCCAGGTCTCTCTCTAGTGAGCAGTTTGTCCTCTGGCCCTGCTCTGATCCCCTGTAGGGGTTCGTGTGTCTACACTGCCTCTCACGGTGCTCTATGTCTCTGTCCTTGTGGGCAGCTGAATGCCTACCTGTCTGGCTTGGACCTAGTCTTTCCTCACACTGGAACCTGGTTTATTGTACCTGGCACCCTTGAGATTCCTGTCAGACCTGTGTCCCCTCTGTTGATATAAAATGTCCACTCTAAGGAGAGTCTGAGTGTGGCGGGTCCAGCTCTGGAGAGGGGCTCGAGTGAAACACAGAGGAGGCAGCTGCTGAACTGGCTGAAGACCCTCAGTGCCATGGCAGAGACCCCAGAGGCCCGAGGCCACTCCAAGGCTGATTGCACACCCTCACCAGTGGCCCGGAGCTCATGCAGTGCGTGTGAGGGAGGGACTCAAGTTTGATGCTTTATTGGGCATCAGAGTCTTGTGCTAGTGAGTTTCACACCCACAGTTCTCACTGTCCAGTTTAGAAGACGTCATTGTGAGTTCCATGGGTTCACACTATGGCTGAGTGCTGGGCATTGCTACATAATTTGCCCAGCTCACTTTTTAGTAAAAATTGTCTTTTTGTGGATTCCTTAGAAGTTTTCTATATACAAGGTAAAGACATTTACAAATGGATATAATTTTACCTTCTTTCCATTTGTAAAATGATATGTAAAGAATAGAAAATGCATTGTATTTGTTTTTCTCCCCTAATACCCATGAAGACATCGTCCAGTACAATGTTGATTTTAAATTGCAAAAGTGAACATTTTTTTTTATTGCGCATCTTCACAGAATACCTGAGACTTTCAGGATAAACATGTTACGGTTGTTTTTAAATGCCCTTTTTCAGTTAAGAAATTTTTCTTTTCTGAAATTGTTGAGGGAGATTGTTTTCTGAAATTATGAATGTGACTTGGGAATTGTCAAATATTTTCTCTGACTTTCGAGATGATCTTGAAATTTTTCCATTATTCTATTAATGTATATGCCATTATTTTCTGTTATTTATGTTAAATCTATATAATTGAATAACATTACCTTCATTATAGTGTATATTTTCTACTCATTTTGCAAGGTTTTATTATTTTTTAAAATCAATTCTCTTAGTACATTCGTTACATCATGATCACATTCATCATAGGTAGTTGGTATGTGTGCATGACATGGCTTCACTTTTTACCCCTTCCACTATTCCGTCCTCCTCCCTCCTCCTTATATCTCTGGGACCCTTCATTCATTCATATACATGTATATGAATATTATCATGTGGCACAAATATGCACACACACACACACACATTCCTTGTAGGGACTTGGCGCATATACTCAAAACTGCACAATTCCCCCTTTTTAATCTCATTGCCCTCCCCTTTGTCCTTCCTCTATCTGTTGCTTCCTGTCCCATATGCTAATATTTTCTGGAAGATTTTTTCATGTATTTATAAGACATACAGATATGTTTTTTCTCTTATTTTATTTTTGAGTTTTCTGTATCCAAGAAATCTGGCCTCACACAATAAGTTGGGAAGAACTCTTCTCTCTCATGTATCTTTTCAAAGAGTTTCTGTAGGCATTGTATTATATCTTTCATTGTTTGAATCCCTCACTAGTGAGACCGTCGTGCCCTGAGCATGGAAATAACCCTGACAGCACACTCCGGCTTGGAAGGGGATCTCCTCTCAGCTGCGTCCCAGTGCAGACCTTGATGTTGGCATCCTCTGCACCAGGATCCCTGCTCTGGACTGGCTGTGAGTACCGTGTGCGAGGCTCTGAGCTGCCCAGTGATGTGGTTCTGTGCTGTGCAACAACTAGTAATTAACAAACGTGCCAATGAACTGAAACCAGAAATTCACTGGTATCCTTGGCTTGATCCTAAAAGAGGAAAAAAAAATAGCTGCATTTGTAAAAAACTCACTAAAATAAGCAATTCTGTAGTTCATAATTTAGTGCTTTTCCATGACTGTCTAATTCACAGGTTGTTTAAGCATACTATCCTCAGACAAGGTGTTCACATGATGGGAAGTGAAGGACACAAGAAACTCTATTACCTTAAAACTCTGAATACCTAAATGTATTTGAAAGTAATATCATCAAAGGAATTAATTTACTACACCTCCTTCTGACACATACCAATACCAGGGCCTCTGGAGCTGCATGAGCAGACCTATGCAGAGAAGAGCAGAGCCACTTCTCTTCTATCCTCGCTTCCTAACCCAGCTGCCCCTGCTTCACGAACACCCTTCAAGCTTTAGGGTCACTGCTCCTTTCCTCCACAGCACACACCCCATTGACAGTCTCCGGTTACCATGTCCTTACACACAAATGCCTGGGCCTTGCATCTCCAAAATAATCCATTTTCAGATATTATCAGGTAGGTTATCAGCTGAATCTACTGAGGCTTTTTCAAATACATGACTTGTGAGCAGAAGGATCTGTGTGTTAGCTTTCCATCACAGGGACAAAGTACTTTCTGTGAGGAGCTAATAAGGACAAGTGTTTCTCTTAGTTCACTGTTTCAGAGCTGTCGAGCCACGATTATTTGGCCATGAGAAACTTTTTCTGTTCCTATCATTTTGCGTGGGACTCTTATTGTGTGTGATTGAATTAATTGCACTGCAGTGCTGCATTTCAACACACACCTTGTAATCGATCTTTCTGTATAGTGTGAATATATTTCTTCCACAGATGCCTACACATAGGTGCACAACCATGCAGGTCACACAGGCACATCAGAAAGTGTCACAGGTAGACAGGAACAGGGAAACCATGTCAGAGTGGGAACCACTGTTAAGAAGCCTAACTGGGCACGGTTAAGACAGCACAGGAGACAGACACAAAACACTGCACTGTAATGTAACCACTTGTCCACAGGACACAGTGCTGACCACCCCACTCCCATGCACCACTCTCTGATAGCACGAAAGGCAGGAGTTCCCACAACCCACAAATAATTTGAAGACTTTTCCCAGAGACTGGCCTTGCCTCCAGAATACTCAGAAAGTTTCCATGGTAAACATTTTAAAGGTGACCACATTATGAGGCAAGAAACCAACAGCCTGTATCTGCACTTTACTAAAGAGACTAGATTGTCCAAGAATGCAAGAATCAAATACTTTAGATCAGGCGACACTTATAATTCCTGATACTGAATTAATAGGTGCAACTTCCAGCCAACAGTTTAAATTGTGCATTGTATGAAATTATTTCAATAAAATTCCCAGCAGCAAACACCAAGACTCATTGCAATTTCCATGTTCTCAAGGGAGACTTAGTCAAATAGCAAAGGAGGACAGCAAAACATTTCTGAACCCTGTGATGCATCTGCATCTGCACTGAAGGCACATGGACTGATGCGAATGATTGCCATTCCTGTAATTAAAGACATGAATAGGGAAGAAGAAAAAGTTAGATACACAATTGTTTTGGATTCAATAATTAAACTCAAGATACAGCTTCAAGATGGTGTTGGTCATATTTCAAAATTCAGGGCACACATTCTCCACATACAACATTCTCTAAGTCTTTAGAAATCTGCACACTTTCAAGCATTTCCTTCATATTTCTATCTCCCTTCAGATAGATGTCAAACACAGTTTAAAACCTTATGTCTGAATATAAATTGCAGTTTTGTTCCCGGTTAACTGATCCTTTCAGTTGTCTCTGAATAAACTCCATCTGTGAGTCTCCTGGGATGCAGGAAACTCACCATCAGGCTGTGGAATTTATATTATGTCTTCCATTGGGTACTTCTTTACCCTTGTAGGTGACCTAATGTCTGAGCGTGACAAGTGAGGCAGTGAGCCTCTCACCGGAAAATTCTGTACACCAGCATGGGCCTTTGTGGTTTTGTCTGCCATGTGTGCGGTTCATTCCTAGGAAGTTTTCCAGTCATGTGGAGAACACAGAAAAACAGGGAAGGATCGGGTGTTGGGTCAGAGAGACCCAGGCTGCGACTCAGTAGGACACACGCAGTAACAGCAGCATCGTGTCGGTACAGACCTCACGGAGAAGCCAGAGCTCCCTATAGGTCCGGTGGGATGGAGCGAGTGCCCTCAGCCCCGATGCTCATGTGAGAATTTTAAATGTTTGTTCAAATTAATGCTGAAACACTATGAAATTATAGGCATTCACTAGAACATAAAACAATAATCATGGTATTACACTAAAAATTCTTACAACTAAGAGGAAGGTAAATCAAGGTAGTCAGCTCCTATGAAAGTAAGTCTAAGCATGTTTTGCTCAAAAATCGGCCTGAAACAGCACATTAGCACCATGATTTTACCTGTGAAATGGGAAATCACACAGAAAAGTTGCTCATTACACTCATAGTACAATATGCCCTTCATCTTGAAAATTTCCGGGCACCTTAAAATTGATATTATAAAAATATTATTGGCCAGAAAGTAGTATTAATGTAATTATACTCATCTACACTTGCTCCAAAAGAACCATTGGCCCCTCACAGTGATACCATGTTTGTCAAATTTGGCAGAGGGTCTATCTGTAGCTTGGAAAGATAATTTCACAAGGGTATTGTAGGATTTTCCTGAGATATCCTGCATCACCACAGCTCCAGATTTTCACAGGAAATGATTATATCTAGAAAATTATCTATAAGTGAAATGAGAGAAGACCTAGAAGTATTTGGAATGAATTGAAAAAATTTAAAATACCTTTGTTAATATATTTTACTTTTATATTGCATGTCATCTAGGAATAAACATAAGATTGACTTAGGATACATACTTGCTGAAAGATTTTTCAGATAATTAGATAAAACTAAATAGTAACCAAGTTTGTTCATAATTTTACAATGTTTTTTTCCACAGTTACATGAAACAGTCATATGATAAATAATACAAATTATACCAAAAGATATCAGTATAATCAAAATATAGATGTAATGTTTACTTAGTCTAAACCTGCTAGTAACGGTATACAGGATTTAGGTGTTCTTAGATTAGTGAATCCTCCCAACACCTGCAGAGGAAGGCTTGATTACGATTGTCAAGGTCCAGGTCTGAATCTTTCCAAACGCCCTACAATAAAGCAACACAAAAGAAACTTAGGATTGACTCAGTCGGTCTGCAGTGTTAGGATAGCTTTCTGTTACATGAAACATGCTTTCTTGGGATAAATTTAGAAATTTTTCCTTACCCAATTGTCATGAAGTTATTTTTTGTTAGGATTTAATGATAAATTACATTGTATTTATACTTAAAGGTATAAGCTGACAGGCCCCACAAGCAAGACCCCTGCCCAACTGAGAAAGAAAAACCCCCAACAGATGCGTGGCCTGCAGGAACAGCAATGACAGGAAGCCAGCTACCACCTGGCTCATTCACACATGCCAGGGGTCCCATTCTCGAAAAACCACAAGGCACCCGCTGTACCTTGCTGTACCTGCCTTCGCCCTGTTCCCCTCACCCTGTCCTGTTCACCAGCTTCATGCCTATCACCCAAGAGACACCAAAATTTGCCACACTGTGAGCTGACACCCCCTGCCCTACTTAAACTCCCCTCTATAAATTGCCTGCGACCTCCTTCCTATTCCAGTGGCCTTTTAGCCTTTCGCCCATCTGCACCCAGATGGCAATAAACTCATCGCATGGTGCTTAGACTTTGCCTACCTCAGTGGTCTCACTCCTGGTTCAGTTGAACCTTACATTCATTCGGTGGCCCATATGGGGAGGTCTGAGCTCCCCTCTCAGGAGGGTCTGAGCTCCCTCCGCCGAACACCACCGGACATCTTCAGGCCACCTCTGACATCTGACCTCTGGACTCTTCCCTCCTTGGCTCGCTGTTAGTCCAGGTCCCCTCTTCTGGTCAGGGGGGTGACACTTTTACTCAACCTTTTCACCCCCTGCCTCTCTGACCCTCTCTCGCCCAGATTTCTCTGTCTGACCCAGTTCACGTTCAAAGTGTGCTCATAACCCAGTACTGGTCACACTCTCAGGAACCTGGTTCCCCTGCCTGCAGCCCAATCTCTGGGACGCCTGACTTGATCAACACCCACTCTGCTGGGTTTGGGAAACTGATTGAAGACGTTCTTTCCTTTCCCCAAAAGATGTTCTTTCCTTTTCCTGGTTTCTGGGGTCAGACATAACTATGAGACACTTTCCTTCCTCTATTTCCCCTTCATCTCCCCTTGCTTGTGTTCTCAAGGACCTCAAGCCTCTTCATCTCCCCAGCCTGAAGACAAAATGTCTTATTTTCTCTTGTAATATGGCCTGAGCACAATACAACTAGATAATAAATCACATTGCCCCAGTCGTGGCACTTTCAACTGTTCATCTCTGTGAGAACTAGACAGTTATTGCCTCCAGCTAGGAAAATGGTCAGAGGTCCCATATGTCCAAGCATCCCTGGCTAGTCAGAATCCCCTCTCTCTGTGCCTCTTGTGACCCCACTGAACTTCCCATCTCAACTCCTCCATCAGCCCCCTCCCCTCTGTCTCCCCACTAGGACTCCTCTCTGACCACTGATCCTTCCGCCCTGGGTCAGCCTCCTCTGACCCCGACAACCTGAGCCCATTCCTACCCCGCCTCAACCTCAACAGCCTCCCCCTGTTCCCGCCTCCTTTCTGCTCTCCCACCCCCTCCCATACAAGGTCTGGGCTCCCTTTGGGCTCTGGTCCAACCCTCTTCCCCCTTTAGCTGCAAGCACTGCAGCTGCTCAGCTTCCTTCAGGACCTCCAACTGTAACTTCCTCTGCTCCAGCCCCCTCTCTCCACGTACCTCACACCTCCAACCGCCTCCTACCTGAACAAGCCCATTCCAACCCCTTCTCACGCTAGATCTAAACTGCCCTTTGGTGTTTCTTCCCTAGCCCTACTCCTCAGCTTCTGCTGCAGGAGGTAGGAGGGATAAAATATACATATACATATTCAGTCCCAGTTCATGCCCCTTTTCTGTTTGATCTTTCTCAGATTAATCAGTATTTTGGCTCCTTCTTCACAGACCCCACGAAATATGTTCAAAAATGTCAATATCTCCCTCAATCTTATGACTTAACCTTCCTTCTAGTGTCATCCTTCCTTCTACACTCTCCCCCGAGGAGCAAGAAAAGACAGATTTGGTCCCCAGCTCAATCCTACTACAAAAATAGGTGGCTTGAGCCCATTTTAGAGGACAGAGCTACAGCCATTGCCCGGCGAAGCCCCCATGGGATTTCAATCACACTGATGCACAGGGGCGGGTTCCAGCAAGGCAGTGCCAAGACTATATGGTAACATGCCTGGTTGAGGGCCTAAAAACAGGCAGCTGAAAAATTAGTTAATTATGACAGATTTAAAAATTACTTAAGTGTGAGATAAACGTCCCTCCCGGTTCATGTCTCACTTAGCCTCCACTCTAGAAAAACCTTACTGCTCTAAACTCTGAAAGTCCAGAAGGGCAACTTATTTTAAAGATAAATTTCACTACCCAGTCTGCCCCAGATATTCACAAAAAGGTCCAAAAAATTCAGGCAACCCTCAGATTCCCATCAGAAATTCATCGATCAAGCATTTCAATAATTGTGAAATGGCTGCCCACCAGCAGGATATTTCTGACTCACAACTACTAGCATCCACTGTAAGAAAGCCACCAAAAGGGCTAAAAGCCAATCAGGGGCCAAATAAAAACAGTGGGGATCCAAAAGAGGGGGTCCAGGACCCTGCTTTAAGTGTCACCAAATTAGCCACTGTGCCAAAACTGTCCTCTGCCACGACTCCCTCCCAAGACGTGCCCCACATGGGGAAGCCCTTCCTGGAGGCTGACTGTACTGTGAGGACCCAGCCCACCTCAGGGGTCCCCTCCCAGGACCACTCTCTGGGGCTCAGGTGCCCTTGCCATCCTGATGTGTTGGAACTCCGATGGCTGACATGGCTCAGAGGTCTTGGTACCCTTGGGACAAGCACAGCCACCAAACTATGGGTAAATCTTGCAGTGCAAGGTGAGACGGGTTCATTTCTGATCAGTACAGGGTGATCATTTCACCCTCTCTTCATTCTCAGGACAGCTAACTTTAGCCTCAATGACTGTTGCAAAAATTGATAGCACAGTGGCCAGGCCTCTCAAACCCCTCTGCTCTTACGCCAATTAAAAAGCCAAGGTTTACTCATTCATTTCCAGTCATTCCCACCTGGCCAGTCCCACGCCTCAGATGAGATATTTTAACAAAGCTCTCTGCCAACCTCACTGTTCCAGGCTCTGCTCCCCACCTTATCACCATTCTTTTCTCATACCTAATGCTATGCCCTACCGCTTATCTTCTTCCTCCCTCAACCATCCTGTCTAGAACATCTCAACCCCCTCTGTCGCTCACCATCACCTGCCTCTCCACATCCCCCTAAAAAAAGACCACCCCTGCCCAGTGTCAAGTCCACCTATCTGACCCACCCTCTAAGGACTAAAACCCATCGTCACTCACCCTCTCAAACAGAACCTCCTGATTCCCACCAACTCCCCATTCAACACCGCCATCCTCGCTGTCTATAAGTCTGATCAATCACACTACTTGGTATAAGATCTCCAATCATCAACCAAATTCTCCTCCCCATTCCTCCTGTAGTCCCAAACCCTTATATCCTCCTCTCCTCTATGCCCTCAACCAGCACCCATTACTCAGTCCTTGACCTAAACAACGCATTCTTTACCTTCCCTCTGTATCCTAACTTGCAGCCCCTTTTGGTTTCATGTAGACAGACACAGACACCACCAGTGACAGTGTTCCGGAAATCTCGGAAAGAAATACATGGAGACACAGAATTTGGGTAAAATAATAAAAGTTCGGCTTGCAAGCAGGCAGGACTGCCAGAAACCAGTCTGGTCAGTATCCGTGCCCCTTTGTTCAGCATTTTCCTTTTTATATCCTTTTTAGCCATTATCTCATCCCTAGTGGTCTTTGATGTGTAAATACAATTCCAGTTCCTATTTACAAGTCACAGACACAAGATAGGCCAAATACATTGTAAATTCACCCAGGCATTGCAACTTCGTTAGGTTAATGAAGTTACTGGTCAAAGAGTCAGATTACTGTCACCTTAAACAAATCTTAAAGGAACACATGACTTATTTTGCTTCTACAACTACCTTAATATTCAATCTAAGTTATCTAAAACTTTTCCCTATCAATAGCAACTCACCTGGGCAGAACTGCCCCAAAGTTTCCAGTGTAGCCCTCACTATGTCAAACAAGCCCTTGTCTGGGATCTTTCCTTTCACCCCGCAGCGTTTGGCTTATTACAATATATAGACTGTTTCCTCCTCTACAGCTCTGTTTCAGTGTCCTATCACCAAGACATCCTCTCCCTACCACAACGCCTAAAAACGAGAGAATATCCACCCACCCCCAGACCCCCACTGTGGGCCCACTGCTGGAAGTGCCTGCCAGAAATCTCAAGTGCTCTCCCCCACCTCCATTCTCCTAAACAGCATTTCCAAAATATAGATGCCCTGCCTAGTCTGCCAGTTCATCAGTTCCCTAAAGCTAGCTCCCAGCACTCACCCTCCTCAGACTCATTTGTTGTAATCCCTTCTGCTCTGGACAAAATGTCTCCTTTTCCCACCCCCAAATTAACTCCCAACATTCAGACTGGACTCACTGGAGTCCCCATCCCCAAATCAGCTCACTGGAGAGGATCTACTACTGGCTACAAGAACTAGCCTCTCCGGCCCCTTCCCAACTCCCCCTCAAACAAAATACACCTACTCACCTTTTTCCTTTCCCTCAACCTGTCCACACCTCCCACCTACACACCACTCCACTGCCCTGCGCACCAACATTTCATCTTCCTACTCACCCACATATCCCTGGCCCTTGCATTCATCACTAGCTTAGCCTCCATCACCCCACCGAACTGGAACAACTCTCCTTGGTGTGTCCTGGTAGCCACATTCCTTCTTCTAGCAGAATTTATACTCATTCCTCTTTGTTCTCTTAAACATGACCACAATGGATAGATACACCTGCCACACGCCGGGTACTCCCCTCCTCTCTGTCATTCCCTTCATATCTCCATCTCCTTCCAAATTGGACTGATTCTTACCCTGTTCCATGACTTCCAACCCCAGTCCCAAAACAACGTACAAGTCACTACCCCAACAGCCTAGGGCTCTGAGACAGGACCACAAACCCCACAACCTCCCCAAACTGTCTGAGCTGCCTCTCCACCTGAATAAGTCTATAAACTTAGCCAACTGTCTGCTAAACCAGTTGCAACCCTCACTGGGGAAGGACTGCTAGATGGGTCTCTCAGAGTCCACCTCAGCAACTGAGGGTGCACTTGCCCCCCTTCAACGTGGGTAATGTCTGAATTTGCCTGGTTCCTGCCTTTGAAACTCATTCTTGGGAGGCTGAGGCCTGTGCCAACACCATGCTGACAGGTTCCTCTGCCCATTCAGAAACTCATCGTCACATTCCCAGGGAAGTAGCCTAAAACATCACACTCTCCTCCCCAGCCACCCTGTGCCTCTCCAGGAAAGGCCCCCGGGATTCCCTTGGAAACCTACCCTCTTCAAAATGTAACTTCACTCTCAAATGCTACTTTCACTGAGACCAGAAAAACCTCTTGTCCTAACCCTTTCCTACTTTCAGGATATCAGGTCTCCCAGCTGTAGAGACCACCCAGCTCTGAAATGTAAACTCCCAATTTTGTTCATCCCAACAGCTACCCTATCCTGAAATCCCTTGGAGGCCCCATCCTCAGCAGACCCACTCTCATTGACTAGACGCCAGATGGATGCTACCCCCAAGCAGTGCCTTCTTCTGCCCAACCTGAGGATGCCTCCCAGTGGCTCTTGACTGATAGGGTTAGATTCACCTTACACTGGCAAAATAAATCCTCCAGGTGCCACTGATAAGGTCCCTCCTGGCTTTGCCCCTCCCTTTACTGGGGCAGTCTGTGCCACAAGCATGGGACACTGACAGAAAGAAAGATCCCAATGAAAAAGTTCCTATGGATGCATAGGTTCTTCTCCCTAAATACCTCCAGGATCTTCCTTTACATTACCTTCACCAACCACTGCCTGCCCACAAACTGGACTGGCACCTGTACTGTGGAATTCCTGTCTCCCAGAATAGATAAAATTCCCAGACAATCTGACCTTCCAATTCCAGGCCGAATCCCTCTCCAGCGGGAATGGAGAGCAGCCTCAATTCTCATACCCCTACAAGTAGGTCTTGAAATCTCCACAGAAGTGGGAACAGAGTCCCAGGAACCAAAATCTCCACTATGAACTATCAACAACATTCAGACGAGCTGGAAATAATACTTTTAAAAATCTCTGACTCATTCCTGGCCTTATAAAAAGAGGTAAACTCCCTGGCAGGAGTGGCCCACCAAAACCAGTGTACACTAAATTTATTAACCACAAAAAACTCAGGCAAGGGCCGGAGATATAGCTCAGTGGTTTCACAGCCTGCTGTGCAAGCGCAAGGGCCTGAGTTTGAGTCCTGGTACAAAAAAAAAAAAAAAAAAAACTCAGGCAATATATTCTTCCTGGGAAAAAAATCCTGTTTTTACACAAACATGTCAGGGGTCATCTACCTGGCAGTACAGGAGCTCTGAAAAGAAGCCACAAAGCTCCAAAAACAGGTGGGAGGGTGAAGATTATCAATGAATGTGGAGGCTTTCTCCAAATGGGTTGGGTACCCTGGCTCCTCCCTATGTTGGGTCCCTCATTCCAATCTTTCTACTATTACTGTTTGGACCCTGTGTAGTCAAATTTTTTTTTTACCTATATAGGTATTCTTTCTACTATGATTTCCTTCACAGATTTGAACGTAGCTTGCTGTACTGAAAGCTTTTACATCTTGCTTATATACAAAGGTTTTCTCTTCAGTGTTTCTTCCTTCAGTGCAACTATAGTATAATTTTCCATATTGTGCATATTCATGGTTTCATTCTAGGATTTGTCTTTGCATGCTTCTGAAAGGACTGGATGTCAGTGCAAATTTTCCCATGTTTGGAACATGTAGACAGCTTCTCTTCAAATCCCTGATACTCATATGATTCGAGTTCAGTGGTAGTTATGATGGGCACAGTTGATGATGAATGACCAATCAGGAGCTTTCTATAGGCAAGGCCTTCACATGGTTCTGTACCAAATTGTTTCATATTCGGATTACTACCTGGAGTAAAAAAAAAACCACTTCTCCATGTTGATACCATAATTTGTATTCACAGCATTTCTCGAACTCTTCACCTCTTAAATTTCCCCTGCAATTTCTGTACACATCTTCAATCCCAGTTTCTCCCTATAGCAGCTACATTCCTAAAGTTTTCCAACATCACATCTCTGTAGAGCTTCTTTTAGAATAGATCTAACAAAGCCCTGTCTTCCATGGTGAAGTTCACAGCCACATCATCGAAGGACACTGCCTCCATGGTGATAGTAGTTTTTTCCTGTGATGACATCATAAACAGTCTCTTCAACATTCTTTACCATTCTAAATGATGCTTCTTGACTATGGTTCATTGCGTGGCTTGAGGGTCTTTCAGGGTCCTTTCCATGAAGGCTGCAGTCAGTAGAAATTGAGAGCTGGCTCTCTGCAAGGTGCTCTGCACCAGGGCTTTGGCGCCAAGAAACAGAGCCCACCTCCCTCAGTCCACCTGATTCTGTAGTCAGATTTTTAACAGATTACATCCAGGAACAAATCTGATCCGTAACATACAAACAAACCCTCCTGACCCACCATTACATCTCCATTGGGCAAGATTTCAGGCTGACCCATAATGACCTCTCCCTTCCTCCTTTTTTTCCTTTTCTCCTCACAGGATGCCCACCTTGCCCCTGGTGCCACTCAAGGAAGTCATAAGAAGCTATGTCCCTTTTCCTTTTATTTATAACACAACAGGCAGGAATAACAGGGCCCCCAAGTGAGAAAGCACCCAACTGAGAGAGAAAAATCCCAACAGAGGCATTGCCTACAAGGACAGTGAAGACAGGAAGCCAGCTACCACCTGGCTCATTCACACCCGCAAGGAGAGTGATTCTCCAAAAAACCACAAGGCACCCACTGTACCTTGCTGTACCTGCCATCACCCTGCTCCCCTCACCCTGTCCCGTTCGCCAGCCTCAAGCCTATCACCCAGGAGACACCAAAATGTTGCACTCTCCGAACTGACAAACGCTCTCCTACTTAAACTTTCATATGTAAACTCCATGCCCCCTCCTTCCTATGCAAAGACCTTTTCACCCTTCGTCCATCTGCACCCAGATGCCAATAAACTCACTGCAGGTTGCTTGGATTTTGCCTGCCTCGGTGGTCTCACTGGTGCTCCAGTTGAATCTTACATAACCACTGGGAATAGATTTACATGTGATGTGAGGTCAAGGTCAGATTTTATTTCCTTGCTTGTATATTGCTTCCTACAACATTTAATGAATAATTAGCTTTTTCCACTAACATTTGCCTTTATGTACTTGAGTGTGTTTTCACTTGTCCTCTCTCTTTTTCAGTTTTATTTCTCTTTGTGCAAACATTTTCTTAGTCAAATTTCCTTTCATTAAACCAACAATTTCCCCTCCACAACTTCCTCTCCTAATCACAGACTATTTTATAATGAAGAAAACATGTAATAATGTAAATGCCATGCACTAGTGCAATACTTTGGTTGCACATTGAGTCGAGAAAAAGATTTAATACTGCACAACATTGTTATTGACTTCGGTCTCTAGAATCCCAATGAAGGTTAAGCAACTCCTCACCATACTTCCTACCTGATATATGACTTCACTCTGCCCAAATTAGATTTGATGCCACATCCTCCTCCCCCCTCAACCCCCCTCTGGAGCCTCGGGAATTTCCTGCTCCATCAGCAACATCTAGGAGAGCAGGAGGCTGTATAGGTAACTTCAGTTCCTGCAGCTCAAGCTCAGAGGACCCAGTGGGAGTGGCCTCTGCTAGACCACGCCCAGGAAGGTCAGGCCACAGTCACCCAGCTGAGTTCAGCCTTTCTGTGGGGTCCACATAGGAAAGCAAAGGTGCTCCCCGCCCGTCTTCTGAGGGTGATGTGAAGTCAGATTTTTTGTATGGAGAATGACAGTGTTAAAGAATCATTTTGCAGATTAACAACACAGTTCAGCCTCAGGCCTCGCCTTGTTCTATTTCTTCTTGTCTTTTATTCTGGCTGCAAATATTTACAATTGAGTGCAAAGTTGAATTTTTGGTCCCATAAATATGTACAGCCATATATTTCTATCTATCAAGGACACTCATTTCTGTCCTTAGAAATCATTTCCAAGGTTACTTTAAAATATTTTCATCTCTTGAAGCTTCACCAATTACTTAATTGAGTGAGAATATAATTCTATTAGGAGAAACAGATGCTACACATTGTCTCTTTGACGTTTTTGGTTACTTCCTTGAAAATACCTTTGGTTTTAAAAGACAGGCACAAAGAATTTTCTTGGAACCAAAAGGAAATATTTGTTCCAAGTAATATTTGTTCCAATTATTTCATCATATGACACATGAGTGAAATTTCACAAAGGCACTAATATTATTTAGATGCAATTCTAAGACTCCCTGAATGCAGATGAACCACTGTCACTGGGCACATGTACGCCTTATCATATTGTTTTCTCTTCTCCTTCCCTAAAAACTTTAGACATTGGCTGGACTACTTGATTCTCTCCATCTCAGTTCTGCAAAAGTCTACTTGGTATTCTGTGAGGATGAGAGAATCTTGTGGACAGAGGGATGAGTTGGAGCTACACACCAGGAGGCTGTCAGGTAGTACATGACGTGTGCAGTTGGCATCGATGGACCCTGAGAGTACATTTTCCATTCACATGTGTACATGTGGATCTGATCTTCTCTTTATGACCTCTCACATGTTCTTTAATATTCTCATTCAACTCCCTTGAATCTCTCGTGTTGAGTAATTTGTGTCCATTTGGATTTCTTTTCCTACATAGCAGCAATTGCTTATATTTTTAACTTGTGGGATATTAATATTCAAGATATTTGCTAGCCTAGCAAAAAGGAAATTACCCCATATTAGCAGCTCTTTCACTGATCATTTCTGAACCTTAGTATCTTCTCATTGGAGAAGAGGAAGTTTAGCTCTGCATAATGTTAAGCAAGGATCAAGTATGCAATGTTGAATATTTCTTTTTCTTAACACATGTATGCAGTGTTGTGCATCTTCACTTAACCTCTGATTTTTGGTATGCTATAAATTTGTATAAGATACACTGTAACATTTATATATTTTAAAATATCTACTAAGATTTCCTTTTTTACAAATGCGCTATTTTATGTGCATTTAACATCAAAGATTTAGGGATGTTTCCATTTTCTTTCTGTGATTGAATTTTAGTTTACTTCCACTGTGACCTGAGAGTAGACATTCTGTGAAAAAATTAATTGAAATTTGTTTAGGCAAATTTAAAGACATGAATGTGGACTGTCTAGTGATGATCCATGTAGGCTGGAAATGAACGTGCATTTTGTGTTTGTTGGATGAAATACTAGTCAAGAGATCTCAAATATCTCATGTGATTGATTCTTCTAATGACTTTCAGTATGTCCTCATATTTCTGTGTGCTGGATGTGCCTATTTCTAATAGAAAGTTATTGAAATTCCCCTATTAAATTATAGTGATACATGAGGTCAAAGGTTTCTAAATATAAGATTACAAAATGAAAGTAATGACTGAGAATTCAAATTAGAGTTACCTTCAGTGGGTGAAGAAGGATGATATTGGGTATGGAGGATGAAGGCAGGTACAGTGTTGCTGATGTTCATTTTATTAAGCTCAATGGTGACGTTCAAAATTTTAAACTTGATTTTGTAACCTCAGAATGGACAGATTTTGCAATAGTTTCCAAGTTGTAGCAGAAATTTCCCTTATCTCTCCCCTACTTCCATTATTATTCATCTCTTACACTGGCATGCAGTTTACTGTAACAATCTAATAATATACATTGTCATTCACTGACACCAACACCTGATTGAAATTTGCTTCTTTTTCATTTAATATACATTGTTTTACTCTGGAATCTCATCCTGGACTCCATAACATATTTAGATATTCTGTGTGTTTATGTTCTTATGGTTGTGACAATTTTTTACATATTTTACATATTTTATATTTTACATATTTTTTCTTCTTGGACATCCTACGTTTTAATTTTTCTCATTTTTCCCATGACTGTGTTGAGTTATTGGTCTTTAAGTAGAAAGTCCACAGAGGTAATCTATCATCCTCAAAACTGCACACCATAGGCCATCCTATCAACTTACTTTTCTTCACAGTTGCTACTAATTTGGTCACATGGATGAGCTTGTGTTATCAGATTCATCCTCTATTTAATTAGCTTTTATTCCCCTCTCTTTTTTGGAAGCAAAGAAAAAGATGAAATTTAATCTTTCTTTAGAGGACACTGAACAATATGAAATTATACATAGAAAGAAGAAATCTCTTCAGAGGACAAGCTTCATATACTAGGTACAGTTTGGAAATATTCAATTATAGTTTCATTGGAAAAAGTTTCATTGGAAAGAGTTCTTAGAAGAGGAACAGGAAGGTGAATTTACACCAAACAGTACACAGTGAAAATTTGATGACTCGGCTGTGCAACCTAGAAGATAAAGGTTTCTCAGCGGCCTGAAGATATTTGAAATGGCATCCAGAAAGAACAACCAGATCAGTTTTCTATCTTTTCACTTAAGAGATTCAAGGTTGGATTTATTACATCACAATGAACAAGGGATACAATCCTTTCAACTGTCCCACCACGTGTAGAGTGTAGAGTGGACACAGACATCCCTAGTTCCTGTTGTGCCCTAAAGTCTGCCTTAGGACACTGATGAGAAATGGGACTAACCCATGATTCCCAGCTTGCTGTCTCTGGCCCTGGCAGCCAGCTGTGATGTTTGACATTGTCCCTTTCGCTTCCTTCTGGATATTAGTGTGGGCGTGGGGGAGCAGCCTGGGGAAGACAAGAGCTGTTCTGCATCTAACACAGTCTGAGTCTGTGCATCTTTTTCAGTGACAATATTCCCTAAGGGTCTTACCATGAGAATCATAACTCGCAATTCATTAGATACAAGAAGCTTCACCAGGTTGAGTATAACTTCTGTTTTTACAACCACTTTAATGCATTCCTTTGGACTTTTGGTAATATAACAAATATCCCAGCAGCTATCTGCTAATACTTTATGATCTTTTTAATGTAGGAGTTGAAATAAAGTAGAAAGAATTTGCTCAACCATATCTAATGGGGCTGCAGGATCCTTGTTATAACAAAGGTTCCAAAGTGTTCAGATAAGAGTATGTAAGTAGGGGCCGGGGATTTATCGCAGTGGTTTCACCGCGTGCTGTGCAAGTGCAAGGACCCGAGTTCGATCCCCAGTACCAA